ATGCCGCCAGAAGCCCGCCTCTGCCGGCAAAGCTCCAATGGGCTCTGCAGGGCGTGAGGGGAGTAGAATTTTTTTGCGGAACCCTTGCACCATTTGGGAAACACTGCCCTAGGAAATTTGCCAGTTTCTAAAGTTTTCCGGATAGTTAAGTGCTGGATAGCACAGGTTTTACTGTAAGCGTAGAGACAAAATTAAAACCAATGCCGCCAGAAGCCCGCCTCTGCCGGCAAAGCTCCAATGGGCTCTGCAGGGCGTGAGGGGAGTAGAATTTTTTTGCGGAACCCTTGCACCATTTGGGAAACACTGCCCTAGGAAATTTGCCAGTTTCTAAAGTTTTCCGGATAGTTAAGTGCTGGATAGCACAGGTTTTACTGTAAGCGTAGAGACAAAATTAAAACCATGAAGAGGGCCTGGAAACTCACACCAACAAAAGCAATTAAAAATACTCTTGCTGAGGTACTCTCAAGACATCTGAGAAGAAACCAAAGTGCAAAGTTCAGTACAACCATTTAAGCCATCCACTGCCTTGTTTGGTGCAATAGTTCTCTGGAGGGCGGAACATCTCCACTGAGCTTTGTCCTATGTTTCTTCTATGATGTCTCTCTAAAATGCAAACAATGCTTTTAATTCCTCATGCTCATTTTAGTTTACATCGATCTTAGGTTAAGCCTTAGAATCTGTTCTAGTTTCCTTTGTTCTCATACTTATTTTTGAATATACAAACACCAGTATGGGTTGGTGAGGGGCAGGAATTGAAATTGCCTTGGACTAAAAAACTAGGATTTTGCTTGGAAACCAAATAGTATGTCATATGAACTACTATATTCATTTCTACCTTATCACAGCAGAAAGTGGAAACATATAAATACGTGCAAATATATAAATATTGTGATGGGCAAACATTTTAATGCAGGCGAAGTCAATGGATCATTAATTTCATACATATCGAATGTTTTGCTGATATTCAATAACCATGTTTAATAACAAACACATGAATATGTGTTTTATAAATATTTTAAGAAAGATATCAGAATTCTCCGCCTTACATTTTTCTCGGGTAAGGTACAGAGATAGGTTCACTGCTGACTATCACTGCACTGGATCCTAGTGCTGGCTATAAATGTAAATGCAAGAACCATCCCCTCAACTTGATCAGACCACTTCCTGCTCCAGACAGGAATAAGAACTCTATTTCAAAACAAGAAGAAACCACCATGGTCTACTCAGAAAAAACTCCTGGATCCGGACAAAGCTTGCTTATAGAAAGCTCTCTACCCAAGCAACCTATCAAGGAGTAGATGAATTAGCCAGGTCCTTCAGTCTTCTAGAACACTGCAAAGTACGTTCTAGTACCAAATCCCCCTCTCTCAATTCCCCCCCCCAACAGTCATCTTTCTCAGTTTACTTGTGACAGAAATAACAGAAAGTAGCTATGACTGACAGTGGCAAACACAGAATTGCTACAAACCTATCCCACTTCCATAACAAAGGCAAACAGAGCCTACCCCTCCTTTGCCACTGAGACAGAAAAGTGAAGGCAGAAGTCCAGATCTTTACTGGACTACAAATCATCTGGAAAAAGAGACGGGCTCTACTCATAAGAATGGCCATACTGGGTCAGACCAAAGGTCCATCTAGCCCAGTATCCTGTCTTCCAACAGTGGCCAATACCAGATGCCCCAGAGGGAGGGATCACAACAGGTAATCTTCGCATGATCCCTCCCCTTCTCCCACTTCCAGAGAAACAGAGGTTAGGGACACCATTCCTACCCATCCTGGCAAATAGCCATTGATGGACCTAATCTCCATGAATCTATTTAGCTTTTTTGTACCCTGTTAAAGTTCTAGCCTTCACTGTATCCTCTGGCAATGAGTTCCACAGGTTGACTGTGCGCTGAGTGAAGAAAAACTTCCTTCCTACTCAACCCTAAGACACAACACCTATTGTTGTAAGAAACTGTCATAAAGAAGGTCACCTACATCTAAGATGGCCTCATAAGTCATAAGAGCAACTAGCTAAAAGCAGGAGCAGAAGCACAATGCGCTCTTTCCAAAATAAAATCAACGTTGTTCAGGGTTACCATCTGTGACTTTGATCTCTGCTCTTCCTGGATAGAAAGAGACAATGAGGAACTTCTGGAAAACCTACTACAACAGAGATTACTTTTAAGGAAAGTAATTTACTGCCTCCCATCAGACATGCAGTAATCTGACTACAGAAACCACTGCTTGATGCTAGAAGCCCCACAAACTATCACTCAATGCCCAGCCTCACTTATCTCAAATAAGCTCATTTATAAGATAGACATAGGTCAGTCTCCAGTGCCACATGAACCTGCTTGGAAGTCTCAGTGAAGCTGCAGGTCACTCAATAGTGTTGTCGGGAGCTGACCTTTCTATTGCAAAGGACACATATCTACACTCATTCTGCCAGTCCTCTACCATCAATCATCAAATATATCTGTCCTGCCTCTGAGAGGCTGCAGGACCAAAAGGAAATACCTATAAATAGTTTATGTCCATCTTCTTGGAAAGACGACAACTGGTTGTTTTGGACAACTGTTCTTCCATCTCCAAAGTCCATCCTTGGGCAAAAGGGCTACTACAGTGACTAGGGGCTGCTATGGTAGGGATGGGTACCAGTTAACCAGTTACTCTGGTAAGCATGCTGGTAAGACACTGCTTACCAGGCAACTGGTTAACCCTATTGCATCCCTATTTAACAATGAGAGCAATTAACCATTTGAACCAAATTTACCAAGGTAAATTTTCCATTATTTGATATCTTGAAATCAACACTGGATGTTTTTCTAAGATGTTATTGGACTCGATACAGAATGTATTGGGTTGTTGTATGGCCCAAGTCATGAAGGAAGTCAGATGAGATGATCAGAATGGTCCCTCTTCTGACCGTAAAATTTTTGACTGCATGACATTTGCTCTTAGATGAGGAGCAGCTGCATAAAGCTGAACCCATGCAAGAATGAGGTTACACTAGCAGAAAGAGTGAAATGTTTTACAGAACTTGTCTTTTCTCATCTTCTGTAGGAGGAATCTGTCTTCAGATTGTTAAATTAGTCTGCAGCAGTGAGGCCCTCAGTGCTGCTGGATACTCAAATAGTCATGGTGGAAAAAATGTACCCACTTTCATCTCGGCAGGAACAGACTACTATATCCTCACGTAAATGACAGAGCTATCTACTCATTAATAACTTCTGGGCTAGACAGCAGCAGTTTATGTTATTAAGAAATGAAACCAACACACTAAGCTTCACCTAGTACAAAGCACAACTGTCCCTTTGCTGAGCAACACAGGGTACCCGAATCCATCACCCTGGAGGTCTGCATTTTGGGTTGGCTCCCCATTGACTAGATGGTTTTAAGGTACCTGACCTAATTAAAACGTTCACACGGGATTCAACGTAGCTACCTACAAGACTGTCTCTCTCTCTTTGTAACACTTGCATCCAGCTGGGACAGTCTGAAAATAGAGCAAGGTACAGGGGGGAATGTTTTCCATAAGAGTTGAACCTTAACTATGGAACTCACAAAGCCATGTTTTATGCCCTGTTGATTCTGGGCTGTCCTGGAGCCATAGGGTATCCCAGTGTAACTCAGCTAGTCATCGAAGGTTGCCTAACTTACAGTAACTTGTCCCTGCTAAGACTTTTTGCAGCATTAGGTGCTGCGGTTCCACCTCCTTCCATTCCATCCCCGTGATTGCATTGAAGGAGTCCTCTGAAGACAGCCTGCAGCTAGCTGTCCAAGATACTATGTTGAGGGGATTTTTCATCAGCTGGTTCTGAGGCTTTTTGAGCCTTTTTATGTTGCTTTCCCCCCTTTATCTAGTGTATAGCCGTAAGAACTTCACCTGGAATAGAGAATTATTATCCTCCTTCAGGCCCTGATCCTGAAAGGGCTGAAGTATTTTAATTCCCCCAAAAGCAAATGGGAATTGAGAGCACTAAGCATTGCCCAGGAGGCACTCAAAATCATACTTATGGCCCACTTATGTCATCATTCCCTTGTTCTGCCCTAAAGATCACAACAAAATGTCAGTGTATGTACATTTAAATATCACACATACAGGCTGAAACTCTTTTAACCTGGACTTCCTGTGCCGGCAACATCCAGTAGATAGGCTGGTAGGTACAATGCAGCGAGGCTGCCCAGCAGGGCCAGGAGCCCAGCACACAGGGAACTGGGCTGCCCAGTGTAGAAGGGAAGGGGGTGAGTGGGCCAGCAGCGCAGCAAGGCCAGTGGTACAGGGGGAGCTGGCTAGGAAGCTGGTAGCTGGTCTAAGGCTGTTGGGGGGCAGATATGACCTCCCCTGGTCTGGCAAAATCCCTCATCCAGGAATGGTCAGGTCCCAAGGATGCTGGATCAGAAAGATCCAATCTGTACCAAGAAAGACAGTCTTCCTGCTGTGCCGACAACAAAGGGTTGTATACACTGATCATTCTGGAAAAAAGGAGCTGGCCCAGCTGCAAATAGGACTGATAATCGATGCAGATAGCAAACAAATTGTTTCAGAAAAATCAGTTAAATGAGGTTTTTTTTAGGCAGCTACTGTATTTATGAAAATGTAATTCTACAGGGAATGAAATAGGAATTTTTACTTACTGACACAGGAAATAAGATCATTAAATCTTTCCTTAGGAAAGACAGGATTTTCCAGCCCTCGGAAATAGAGCTTCAGTACTCCAGCAACTGAGTTAATGTCATGGTTGCTTTGGTCATCTGCCAAAGGATTTTCACCTTAAAAATATATAGAAAAGCAGTCTTACTTAATAGCATTTCACATAAATGAATAAAGATTTGATTTGACTACATGGGACGTTGCATGGTAGTAAAATCATAAACACTGGTTTAAAAATCTTGCATGATTAAACTGAATACAAGCAATCCCTGCCTGAAATAAATCTTTCTTTAAATTACATAACTCAGTGAACCCATAGATTATGGGGTGGAGAGTGAATATTTTGGGATTCATTAAGATTTGCATTAGTGAAATGAAGAATGTGATCATTCTTAGTGAAACAGGACTTTTAGGACTATTCTTAGGAATCTTATATAGAGCATTTAAAACTAAGATTTATTTGAGCTGCACATCTCTCTCTGGATTGAAAAAGCATTCATGAAAACACAAGAAAATGTGCATAATGCAGTTATATGAGTACAATATACAGAATCAAAACCACTAAAACTCACAACAAAATACTGCATCATTTAAAAGACTAAACTGCACATCAAAACATTTTTAGCTATATCGATATAATATGACTTCAAGAACATTTCTGTGGCAAAACAATTTCCATTTTAATAAGGTTGACTTTAAAGGTAAACAATAACAATCCATAACTGTCCTCAGATATAAGGATACTGCATCATTTATCATATAAAAATAGTTACTGCATATATCTGCTCAAGTATCAGATCTGATTTTACACGATATGGAGTTCATTTTAGAGTGTGAAAATACAGTCTACTCTTTCTTCTTGCTGTTAGTCACAAGACGGATTTTCTACCAAGGGATTCTCTTATTAAAAGATGATCTCAAAAGGTTATGTTAGAAATTAAAAAATGAGTTGTAAAATCCCAAAAGAGATGACTTAATTACATGTTTCTTAAAAAAAAAAAAAAAAAGCAAACACTATGATTTAACACCATCTGAGAATTGCTAGCGCCTTCAGATTCCAATTCTTATGCCACAGTGAGCAACATCAGAACAATCACAGACTTAACATAGGTTGAAAGACAATCAAATTTATACCCCTCTGTTCATTCTTTCATAGCTTTCTCAAAAATTATCCTCTAGGATGAATTTTTTTTAGGAATGAAAATAGATGTTAAAATGGAATGACTCTTTCAACAACCTATGTTTGTATTGATTGTGATGTCACTTTGGCAGAGGGAACAGAAAATCCAGCACTCATATCTTGAAAGAGCCAGTAACAATGGTGTCAAATTGTGTTAAATTTATTCAGTTAGTATTTTTGCTTCTTTTAGGACTTTTAAAGATAATAAAAACAGGAAAGAGAAAGAAGTCATGATTTCCAGTTTACCATTGGTAAATAAAACATTTTATAGACAGTATAAGGGTCATAAATCTAGTGCACGTGTATAGAAAAATATAATCGTATGTACCTAAGGACAGAATAAAATAAAAATGTTGAAAGTCATTAATATACTGGACAAGTAAATATGCAGATAGGCAAAACTTGAGGTACAGTGAATACAGTACATAAAATAGCTTAAATGTCCAATACAATTATTACATTTTAATAGATTTTTTCCCAAGAGCTGGATCTCAGATTGTTCATATGGACATAAATTCAATTACCTCTCTCAAATGAATTTTTAATATCATTGACTTCCACCTGAGAACCAGACACTCTGAAAATTCCCTGATGCTGAAGACATGAGATCATATAATCTAATTTTTTTAAAAGTAAATGACAAACATGAGAAGGTAAAATCATTATGCAAAATATACTTTATGCAAAATAGCCAAGATACTAATGAAGTGACATGATGTATTTCAGAGCTTACCATATAAATTGATAAATCTGATGCAGCTTTCCACTATGAGGGGAATAACTTGTCCTAAATCCTGAGGACACAAAAGCAAAAAGAATATAACTGCAAACTAAAAGGAGACAGACGTTAGATAACATATAAAATGGATTTTATTGATAATGCAAGGTCGAGACAGTAATGTTAAGTAAAACAATCCCTTCCAAACAAAAGTATTTTCCCACTTTTGCCAGGAGCCTATCAAAGTAATACTGAAGTCCTTATGCAAGTCATCAAATCAAAGACATTCACTTGGGGCAATAATTTTTGGTGAGGGGCACTCCAAGATGCACTTTTCGGTGGGGTGTGTGAATGAGGTCTAGGATGGAGGCTGGGTAAAGAAGGGCGCATGGGGTAAGGGGCTGGGATGCTGGAGATGGAGTGGTGTCTGAGAGGTGTGTGGTGAAGGAGGGGGTTATGACCTGGGGCAGGGGAATGGAGTGTAGGGTCTGAGAGGGTGCTTGGGTGCGAGAGAGGATTCTGGCCAGGGAAGGGGTGTAGCAGGGGGTACAGCGTCTGGGAGGGAGTTGTGACCTGGGGCAAGGGGGTCCAGAGGGTTTGGATGATGACTTGGGGGAGGGAATTGGGGCGAGGGAGGGACAGGGGGTGCCAGAGGCAGTACCTGGTTGGGAGGCACTTACAAAGCATCTTCTGGCCTGCAGCACCCCCAAGGCAGGCTGAGATCCCTGCCTGCTGCAGCCCCAGACTGCCTAAAAGTACAGGCTGTTCCCTCCACAAAGCTCTCAGCTCCAGGTGGGGGAAAAGGCTTTCGTTACCCCAGCTTTCAGGCAATTCTCTCAGCTCTGATTAGCTGTTTCCAGCTAATCGGAGCTGAGAGATTGGCTGAGGTCAGTTTTTATTGTCCGGTTGTTTCTGGCCAATAGGAGCTAAGGATTGGGCTGGGGGCGAGGAGATCACACAAAGCTTCCCCCTTCCCTGCAGAGCAGAGAAACATAGGCTGGACCCGGTGGCTTGGCAGGCTGGATCCAGCCCCTGGGTCATATTTTGCTCTGCTGTGAATTAACTGATGGCTGAAATTTTATCAACTTATCTCATTGCATGCGGTTAACTTAACATACATGTATCCTCATTTCATGCGGTTATTTTAGACTCTTGAAGCAAAATGAGTTAAGCAATGAACTTCCTTTTAAATATACAATTAAAATTCATTATCATGGCACGAAAATGAAGCTTGTGCATTATTTTAGCCTATTTTCCCATTAGTAGTTGGAATTAATTTTATATACTGTGGAGCCAAATTGTTGTAGATGCTTCCTCATATGGCCAGGCCTAAAAGGCCAGGAAAAGGACGTTAGTGGCTCCTATTCTGGCTCCTCTGATGTATCAGAAGGGCGGTTCCATAGGCTAGCTGCAGTAAGAGCCACCAAATGGCACAGTGTGGAATGTTATGCTGATCTGGAAATAACTACCACCGGCAGCTACCTGTACAATATAGTCCTGCACTAAGCAAGACTAAGTTGTTTGAGAAGCTTGTGTATGTGTCTGGTTAGGCCTACTAATGGGGTGGGTGAGGGAGTGGGAGAAGGAGAAAGGGTGATTGCCCCAGGGCCTGGTGATTCTAAAGGGCCTGGGACTCCTAGTCACCACTGCTGCTACTGTGGTGGTTCTGGAGCCCTGGGCCCTTTAAATCACCTCCTGAACACCACACAGCATGCTCCAGGTGGCTCTGAGGTATGGTAAGCGGGGGAACAGTGTGGTGCATTCTGGGTGGCATCAAGGACTGGCTGCCTGTAAGAGGTCCCACCCCTTCTGAGAGCACAGAGCTGTTACCCCTACCTTGCCCTGGCATGGCTCCCCTGAAACTGGGTTTCTGTCAGAATACAGGCATACATTAATGCAGCTTTAAACCCACATGCTCTCCTGTATGGGACTCCACTATAGCTGTCTTTGCTGACAATTTGTGATACAGCCAGAAAGGGAGGTTAAAAAATGTGGGCCTGATTCCCAAGTTCTCCCCAGTGGGATTGTGAATAAGAGTAAGTACCAGTATAGATCTATATGCAGGATCAGAACCCACATTTCTAAAACATCTTGCCTTTGGTGCATGAATCACAATCATGGCTTTAGCTAAATATAGAGGGGTTTGGTTTTATTTAAAAAATGCCCATTTAAAAATAATCAGTGGAAGGGACCAGGAAGTATTTGATCATACGCAGATTCTTGATTTGTGAAGTTTAAATTCCATTAGACTGTTTTTCAAACCACTGAATATCCAAAAGAATTCCTTCTCTGAGGACTTGCCATGGCAGGAAGGCATGTGTGTTTAAATGACCTCAAGTGCTTTGTGGACAGTTCTAACTCCTGGTAGGGTCACCCAAACTGGAAACGTGTAAGGGATGGGACCAAATAAAAGATAATCTATCTATTCTGCACAGGCTCAGTCTTGCCTTGTAAACAAGTTGTTATAAAAACACAAGGAGATAGCCATTCCAGCAAACAGCACGAGAGAAAAAGATGGAACGCTGTTCATGCTCTGCATAACATCTGTTGGCCCTGGTCTACACTAGGGTTTTATTTCGAAATAAGGGGCTGTTTATTTTGAAATATGTACTCCTGCTTTTCTTGGGGAATAACGCTAATTTTGAAATAGTTATTTCAAAATAATGGTAGTATGGATGCTCTGGTACAGCTATTTTGAAATAGCTACTCCTCAGAATAATTTGAACTAATTACTCCCCAGTGATTCCCAGGGCTCAAAATCGACTTAGTGCATCCACATTAACTGAGCCTGCCTCGGACTAATTTCAAGGTTTCCCTGTAGTTGGGTCACGCTATTTTGGTTTTGTAAAATTGGGAGTTATTAAGTGAAATTTAGTTATTTTGAAATACTTTTTTAGCGTAGACATGGCCTTGGTGTTAAAAAGATCATATCCAAGAGAGTGGTTACTGTTTACGGCGTTCTCTATTTTGACATTACAAAAATGGGATACGATTTACTCAATAGAGATTAAGGACTATGAAGGAGTTATCAAATATGCATTGAGGATATGAACAATATATGGTTAAAATGAATCTCAAATATGAAACGCTCAGAGCATGAACTAATTTATTTCAAAATTTAATATAAAAACTACAGAGAAAACAAATAAAAACCTGTCACTCAAAATATGCAACCTTTCTTTTTCTTATAAACTAGTCCTTTAGTTTCATGTTAAACTAAATTAGAAGTTAACAGTTAAGACCAGGCAAGATTCTATATGTCAAGCTTCTGCAATTTGTGTCTAGTTTTTTACTAAAAGATGATATATGTATTCTTAAGTTCGGCGGAAAAAAACTAGAATGGAATTGCTGAGACAACCTACCTATTGCTTTGATGTACAACATGATAATGCTTTAAATGAGGTTATCTATCATAATTTCAGTAACTATTCTACTTTAAGTAATGTCAATTTTAGAATTTCATTAAGAAAAATAGCCAAAGGAAGGGTTGGTTTATTTTAAGTACTTGGCAAAGAGTGGATGGCTAAGAATCAGCAAATCAAGAATCAACAATAATTACACCAACATTTTCATTTCAGATTGTGGAATGATTCAGTAACAGATAAATTAATTTGCAGAGTTCAGCTGCTAACCTAGGAATCCTACAATAATTAAAAACAACAAATGCTAGGTTGTCTTTGTACTAAGCAGCAAAATATTAGAACACATACATCACACGCATTGCTAGACTACTGATCTATGCAAGGAATGTACAACAGCTAAAAGGGTACTGTTTGCAGTAAGAAATTACCAGAGTAAACATGACTATTTAATGCATTTTTTAGACTAGCCTCACAAAACTAAAACATTGATTTGGTCTTATTTTTCACATTTGCCCAAATTGCTAATAAAAAGTAACGGGCCTTAAGTTTTTGATCCATTAGTGGGGAAAAAAATATTTAAGGAAGGAATCTGTTTTTGCTAGATGTCACCAAGACTGGCCCATTTTAATGTCATTAATTCAGATAAAATATTTGCTATTAGAAATATTAGTAATAAACCACACCTGGCAAGCGCAACCTCTTTAACCAGAAGCAACTGAAAGGGCTCACAGCTCTCAGTCCCACACACTTGTTGCCTGGGAGCTGCCTGGGAGGCACGAGCCCTTTCAGCTGTTTCTATTCAAAGGGCTTGTGCCTGCCAGGTGGCAACCAGGCAACAGGCTAGCAGTGAGGCCAGCAGCTGCCAGCCATGTTATGTGAATTCTAAGCCTCCACCCCAGAGAACAACCCGCGGGTAGTTCTCAACCCTGCCTCTTCCACCCGAAGCCCCACCCCTTCCGGGTCAGCCCACGACCACTTCCAAAATGTGTGAAGTGGCCCCCCTTCAAAAATGATTGCCCATCCCTGGTCTACAAGGTCATAGCTAATTTATGGAGAGCAGCAAGTTCTTGCCTATTAATAAGGTAACATCTGGAAGGACTATGGTAGCCAAAACCGAGTTATGAAACAATCTAATTTCTTAATGCAAACCTCCCCTGTAAGGTCAACTAGAGAACTAATTTTAAAGCCAGGCATGAATGCAACTTGGCAGTGAGGAAGAATCAGCTCTCTTTTCACTAGAACTATACCTGGTGTCTGGTGTGAGAGTTCCTTCGTCCTCGGCTAGGAGCATTATTAGAAATAAAAAAAGAAAAAGAAAATAATAAATACAGCAAAGACACTAAAGTATGCTTCTCACAATTTTGCACAATATAATAATGAATTCCTGAAGTCATGGGAAATCAAAACCTGGATTTCAGATCCAGTGTACTATGGGTTCTACATAGGGTTCTGATGCATTTAAAATGATTACAATTGCTAGTAGGAAATAATGTCAGATCGTGGAATAGAACATTACATTTTATCTTTTAATTAACTGTAAATTCTTTATCAAAACTAGGCTGTCACTATCATCCATACTCCAATTCAATACATTATAAAACCCTCTGACTTTAGGAATTATTTTATTGATCAGCTGGCAAGAGCCCCAAGACAGATTTGAATATAATGATCTTCCTCAGTTTACATGAGGAAGAATTGTTGAAATCAGCCACTGAGAGAGCTGGTGTCAGTACCTTGATAAATGACTCCAAATCACCATTAGACAGCTTAGCCTTATATTGTGATTGTGGCCTGGGCTTCTTGTGTTTCTGGGGATTAGTGGGAAGATTTGGAGGCCCAAGGGAAGGGAATATGATTACTGAGCAAGGTAGAAAAAGTCACAGAACTACATAAATATCTGTAAGCTTGTGGCAAAGTAATAAACCATTTTAGGAAGAAAAAAGGAAAACAAAAACAGTACTTGTCAAACAAGGACATTTCACAAGATTTAAATGTAACAAAGGATTAAAGAGAGCAAAAATTCTGCTAAAAATAAATACCTCACTGATCATTCTGACTTTCTTTACAAAGCTGCCATAGAAGAGTCATGTACTGGCTCTCCCTCCCCCGCCAAAAAAGGTGCATGATTGCAATGGTCTTATTACTTTGTATTATGCACGAAACGTGCAGCAGGAACAAAAACTCATCCTGCCAACCACAGTATGATACACCAGTATTCTAATCACCGGTTTTATTAAGCAGAAAAGTTGCCTCATGGTGGAGAAAAGTCAAATGAAAATTAAAACTTATCACTGTATTCCTTAGGCACTACATAGACATTTTCATCTGGAGCCAGTAACTGTTTAAAAAAAACAAACCACCCACCCACACAAAATCACTTACAATTACTTTAAAACGTAGAAAAATAGTGGTGGGACTCTGGGATGGTGTAGGACTGGAGACTATTTTTAATTAATCATTAAAGAAATTCTTCTCCCCTAAAACTTCTATTTTCACAGTAGTGCTCTGGCAGCAGAAGAAACTCTACTTGAGAAGAGATATCTTGCAAAACTGAGAAGTTGGAACACTGCATTACGACATAAGACTGCAGAAATGTTTATATAATTTAAAAAGATTTCACCCCTATTCACCAGAGCAAAAATTTGCTTTAAATGGAGGTTTCAACTTTATGAGATTTTATGGAGGCTTCTCTTCTGTTCACAGTATTTGACGTTGCCCAAAACGTTCACAAAAGTACTTTATAATCAAGAGCGCCATTTGGAAGAGTGTGGGAAGGGAGGAGGGAGAGGGGCAGCAGCCATACATATTGGGATGCTGCTTGCTTTTCTTCCCATTCCCGACAATAAGTGAGTGAGGGAACAGTACAGGGATTCCATGCATGCCTCTAACTCCTACTTAGTGAAGGGAGGAGCAGAGCAGTAATTCACGGAATCCAAGTACTTTCCCCTTGCTTCCTGATAGCCAGGAAGAAAAGCAAGCAGCATCCTGATACACATGGCTGCTGCCCACCCTGCACTCTCAACATGGCACCCTAGTTTATAATCCCAGAAAAAGATGGACAAATCAGTTCTTAATCATTTTATAGTTACAGCATTAGCTTAGTTAGATGCTAGAATGTGTGGTGCAAATATGCTTCTGTACATTTATCAATATTTGTATTTCAGATTCCTTACATTCTTCATTATAAGTGATTTTTGAATCTTCATTATGTTTGTAGTTTCCTGTAACAAAAGAGATTAAAAAAATATATCTTACCTTGTGGTCATGTATTCAGCTCTGTGACCTAGAAGAGTTCAACGAACAAGGATTCAGTTGTAGTTGATGGAAATAAAAGCTTTTTTTATGTAGCTATACTTATGTTTGCCAGTTTGCTATTCATCTTGAATTATTTTTAACCCGAGTTTATTTCACAAGATTTACAGCTGCACAAAGATTCAGGGCAACGTGTGGTTATCGTCCATCTCCAGAGTTTTAAATAACTGAAAACAATCCACATAAGCTACTTCTCAGACATTTTCTCCTAAAGAACCATTTGGTACTGTAAGTAATGTGATGTAAAATTCTAAATAGACTCCATTGTTCATGCTCATGTATTTTAATGACTAAATCAATATGTAAATAGCTCTTTGCCAGGATTAGATTGCATCTTGACTGTTGCCTAAGCTTGTTCATTGCCAAAAATAGAGAGTTCTTGACTGTAACTGCTTGTTAATAACAATTTTGTTATTCACTTAAGGGTGTGCCAGTGTTGCACATTGAACTGTCCGTAATGATACCCAAGTCATTTTTCTGAGTTGATATAGCTCATTTATAACCATAAGGTATATGAGTAGTTTGATTTTTATCTCCCTAATGTGCATTGTTTTGCATTTATAAATAATTCATTTCATTTACCATTATGTTGCCTATTTACTTAGCTTGGTTAAAGCCCTCTGAAGTTCCTGAGTCTTCTCTGGATTTGACATAATTATTTAGGCTAGTCATCTGCAAATATTTTAACTTCACTGCATAGCCATTCATCTCCGGGGCAGGGTGGGGATTGTGGTGGAGTCCCACAATGGGCAGAGTTGACATTGCTGCCATAGGACCAGGGGTGGAAGACTGGCCTGATGTAGATTTTCCCCTGTTAGCTTTTTCTCAGTTCCAGGGAGTATCTTCTCTTGGCTTTCTATCTCCCATCTCTTGGGTCCCCACTCACTAAAGCTGTTGTGTGGGAAATGGGTTCATTTGCTCGTCTCCCCTCACTCGCTCCCAGTTCCTCAGTGTGCTAGTTCATGACACTTCCCCAATTCTTCTTTTGAGAGTCTAAATCGGATCACCTGATCCTGCAGTCAGTAGAGTAGAGCCACAGTGGAGCTCTGTGGGGCATGACGATCTGTGCTAATGGCTTCTGTTAAAGGATAGGAGCCTTACAGAATGTTGCCATTTATGTGTTTGCAAAAAAATTCGGGAAGCAAAAAACAGTACATTATACACAGTTTTTAATTAAGCGTATATCTGGTATTGTATTATTTCTCAAATCAGAACACAGATGTTTCATTCAATAGCTTCATTGCCAAATAGATTCATTTGTCCATATTGTTATACTTGCAAAATGCAAACTAATAACTACTGAAGAAATAAAACCAATTTATAGCTTTCTCTTGTGCAGGAAAAGGCTCTAACTACTGCTCTGAATTATGCCTGGCAAAGAAATCAGACTGGGCACTAGGACTCTGAGCTTTGTAATTTTCTACTGCTTATGCTTTAAATATTTTAGAGGGTTCATCCTAGAATTGCTTTCCAGTATCTTCTGCATCATTTACCTTCTCCAAGTGTCCTGTGCAGTAAATCATGTTTTGCTTGCAGCTTTGTGATGAGATTACTCCCTTCCAGGAATTCTCTGAATTTCTGCAGCGATGAAAATCAATTGATCAATTTTATCTTTTACTTAAAACCAGGATCTTTGCAGAATTCTTTCTGAAAACACTTACTACAGGTGTTTGGACAACATCACAAGGCTGAAGAAGCAACCAACATACCATGAAATAGAACTGTTCAGTCTCCTGCTGGTTAGCTCTTCTTTTTGCAATGCTGGGCTTACTCATGTATGTCTCAGAGACAGTTGACTTCACAGACTCTGTAGAGCGACTGTGCTGGAAACATTCTGATACGTCATAGTCCTCAATGGTGACCATGTCTTGTATTGTCTGCAAAGTAGCTTCTGTTGTTTTCTTAACCTGGTATGAACAATGCGATTTATCAATTACAGAAAGTAACATAAATAAATCCTAGAAGCAGCTTAAAATGGAAACTAATTACTGAAGTGAATTCTCTCTTACATGCTCTGTGAATGAACAGTGGGTGATGACAATAGCAAGTGACATGTTTCGCACTGGTATAGAAATAACAGAATAAAGAGATCACTGGTTCCTAGAACTGTCACTATGCTTTAATATGTTACTAAAACCAAATATAGGCTAATCTTCTGACTGACAGAATTTGGCCTCTGAACAATAAAGTGAAAAACGAAGTGGTAGTGAATAGAAAGAGGTAAAGAAACTTGTGCTCTAACCTGAACTGTTGGCTCCCCAGATTAAAATATGATTGAGCACATCTGCTGGCATGGCTTGCAGTGCACGCTGTTCTCCCAGGAGAAACTCTGGTGCAGCAATACCCTTATGTTGGTAAGGGGTTAGATGTTTTAAAGATCATGTCTATAACCCACAGCTACAATATGGATGAAGAGATTGAAGAACGTACAGTTTACACAGCTATCATAGCATCTCCTACTAGCTGCAGAAATGTGTTTAATATGGCCATTCAGAGTGGACAGATGACTAGAAACACAACAAGAGATGCACTGCATCCTGACAATGAAAAGACAAGTGAGAAGATTCAGTTGGTAGTGTGTGTACCATGAAGCTCTGCAGAATGGAATGTTTGATGAATACGTTTGGAGGCAGAGGTGAAAGTGGGCCAGTATGGTGTACTGGTAAGAACCAGCCACCAGTACTGGCCCATTCATGGCAGATATTAAAGTTGTCCCATTTGCTCCTCTCCTGTTGGTGGTCCTTCCAGCAGAGTCTGACTCCGGCAGCTCTAACATGACCCTACCCGCAGGGCCACCAAAATGGGGGAGTGTGAGAGGGAGCAGCTGCCCTGGAGCCCAGTGATTTAAAAGGGCCCAAGGCTCCCCCAGACACTGCTACTGTAGCAGCCACAGTAGTGGCAGCTATGAAGCGCTGGCTGGAGGAATGTGGTCTCAACCCCGCACCTTCCACGCAAGGCCCTACCCCTTCTGGGGACCAGAGAGTTATTCCCCCACCTTGCCAAGGACCCAAGTATTCTGGTAAGTCTTGGCAATTAATTTCACCTCTGTTTGGAGGTGAAGTGGGTTACCTACTCCCTGGCTTCATAAAGTAACTTCTATATGCACCTCCTTTGCACAAACACATCTGTCTCTGTGAAGCAATGGTTCCCCATACCTATGCCCTGACATACTGTCATATGCCTCCTGCTTCTCCCTATGCTTGTGCTCTCATTTGGTGGGCAATCAATAGGCTTTTTTACCGCCTCTATTTTAATCTTGCTTTCACCCACATCTCCTAAATGGGTAATCTGAGTTACTCTGAAATTAAACAGTTTATTATTTAAATAGTCTATTGCATGTCTGATGTTAACATAAGTATTTACATTTTGATTCACATGTTCAAGGTATGAATAGAGTTAAGAAGATGCCTTGGCTTTTAGTTTTAAGAACTGCTTTAAAATGGGCACAAGTACAATTTATGCATGGCCTCCATATGCTGCCAGGGTGCAGTGAAGAGCACTTAGCCTTTTTTTTGTTCTTTTTAAAGAAAAGAGCAACTTTCTTTTAGTAGGTGAGCCATCATCAGGACAGGCATTCAATATCACCATGTGTAAACAGCTGTAGTTAAGAGCATAACAAAGATTCTGCCTCTGCAGCCATAGAACGCAGCAAAAAATTCTTCATCCTTCAGAGCTGCCAATCCAGGGGCTAATCATTTGTTAAATCCGCGGCAGAAAGAAGGGGGGGAATTAGATAATTAGACCTCAGTAATTCTGCTAGTGTAACTTCTTAGTTGTCCAAAATTGACAAGTTCTATTTTGTAGGAGACAATAAATGTAATATTTTTAATCTGTTGTTTTTATATATTTGCCCATAGAATGCTTGATAGAAAGATAGAGAGATTAAAACTTTAAAATCCAAAATGTATGGAACATGAATAAATCTAGAATCTGTGTTCTTCTGTATAACAACAGGTCCATGCATACAGCTGCAATGGGAGGTTCCTTGTAGTGGCTTGCCAATGACCTTAGTTATGAGGTACTGAGAAGGGGGAAATTTACTGTGCTAGTTTCAACAAAGACTCATTGGCTGATATGCATATGTACTGCCAAGAGTTGAAACATGCTGGTTTTTGCTTAAATAAATTAGTTTCAATAAAGGTGGACTGAGCATTTACAAGGAAAGTGCAGTAATTTCAACAAATGTTGCTCATTTAAAACCACCTAAATGAAAATAACTTGATCTATATTTGGTTTAAAAATAAATGCACTGTCTGGAATTCAAGTGTTTCCTTTTAAAAAGCAAAATTAATGAGTTACACATATGGGTCAAATAAACAGAAGCATAAGCTGAAACACTGAGGACTATGTTTTTTTAAGTTGAAGAATATCCATATAAATAAGAATATTTTCAATGAATCCTAAATGTACAGGAATCAACAAATACAAGTTCAAACACACACAATGAATTCTCATGGAAAGCAATACACAAACTCAAATGCACACATTTTTAAATTAGTTATAACTGATTCTGACTCATTAACAACTTCATTACAGGCCTTTCCTAAAATGTTGTACCAAACCATTGAGATGTTTTTGGTCTGATTCATTTCTACAGGTGACTCAATGATCTGTAAGGCCGAATTCTGCACTGGAACATGTTCTGTGCAGCTCCTTGTCTCACAGTGATGCATTTGAGATGTAGTAAGGCATAATTTCACTGCTGGGACACAGTTTTTAAACTTTGAAATTTGTATAGATATTTGATATTATGAATGAAATTTGTGCATCTAGATTTAAACCATTTTAGACTAAACCAATGGTTCTCATCCCGTTTACTATTTTGGGCTGCATTCAATACTATCTGTACAGCCCTGAGAGTCTCCCAGGGACTGCAGATCTGGGTTGATTGGGCAGCAGGATGAGAAACACTGGTCTAAATGATGCTTAGTTTTTGACACAATGGAAATCATGGGTGGCAGGTGAACCATGGGCCTAGGGAAGCTAGTCTGTGGCCCTGCCCACCCCTTCTGCCCAAAATCCCACTGTTAATGGCCCTCTTCCCCCACCAGAGCTCAGAGCAATCCCAGCTCCCAGACCTCTTGAATGCCTCCAGCCCCAGTGTTCAGAGGGACCCAACCCAGGTCCCGACCATAGGCCAGCTGCTGTAGCCACAGCCCATTTTCCGAGAGAGGAGTAGCTTGCCTGGGCTGGGGCCAAGGAGCAAGTGTCTTGCAGGAGGTGGCCTGAGGAAGGAGCCAGAGGGGGCTATTTGGTGAGGCTCAGCTTCCCCCAGCCTACAATATATGCCCCCCATGGTGGAAATTCTCCCTCTCCCAAAATGCTGTTTATCACACTTTGCAAGCAGAGAGAAATCTCACCTCTTCATTTTCAATTTTGAGTGTGGCCAGTCGTGACTGTAGCTGCTGATACCTGAGCATAAGCTCTGCTTGCACCGGTTGCTGGACACTGACCTGACAAACCTAACAAGGAATAAAAAATAGCTATCAGACTCAGAGAAAAATTCAGTTCACCAGTGCTGACTTCTGTCACTCTCTTTAAAACCAGATGAACTGCTGTTAAAGCTAGTAAAAATGTAATTACATTTAGATTGGCATTTTCCACGTCAATTATTTTAAGTCTTCATACTGTAAGATGTAGAAAAAGTCACAATATTCTATGAAAACAGAGAGCAGCCTTGATGTTCCTCTGCAATATGGCATTTGGCTATTCCAGGACCACAAAACAGTACACATCTAAGCTTTCCCTTGCAGAAGGAAATCCCCAGATGGTGTAGCATTCTATGCTGCCACCAGTCCCTAATGTAGTAGAAATAGGGGCATGGTTGGAGACCACTTTAATTCTGGCAATCTCCGGATATTATGCTTCAAGGCCCCTCTAAGTTGCACTAGGAAGCTCCACTGAGTGGCAGTGATATAAAGCCATTATTGCTTCTGTTCCTGTGCTGGGCACAATGTGGAAGTTGTAGAAATTGTGAGCCAATGCCACTGAAGTGTAATACAAAGCATAGTACCAAAGGATTGTTCTTGCATCTGAATTATTTTGAGGAGCTCTGAACAATATGTTTCCAGATCTGCCAAAGGTTTTGTTTGCTGATCCATTTGTGTCTGTATAAATAAAACTGGCTTACATTTCACTTTAACTAGATTATTTGTAGAAGTGGATAAAAGCCATATCCTGCAGAAAATAATTCAGAGCAGGGAAGTTTTCTTTTATGCAGAAACAGAAATGGTTTAGCTATTTGTCACAAAGAAGTTACTAATTACTGACCTCATCCCCCATATGAGACTGAAACTCAAATTTCATCGGTGGACAAAAGGCAGTGGGATACATCTCCATAAATCTCTGCTTGTCACTTCGGGACTCCAAGCTATCAACAGCATTCTCAATGATGTCTAGGCCTTCATGTCTAGAGGTTTCAAGGTTATACTCTGCAGAAAGATATGTTCTTAGGGCTCTGTTCAAACTTGCATGATATCCAAGATCGGAACACTAATAATATAACAAGGAGAAAAGAAAAATTAAAAAGCAGAAGCAAATTCCAGTGACAATGACATAAAAAAACATATATAACAAATAGCACGTATAGAATCAGTGGTTTTTTTCCCCCCACCTTCAAAGTGCTTTGCAAACCAACTAATTAAATCTCACAATAGTCATGTCAAGATGGTAAGTAGCTATTTCCATGTGATAGATGGAGAAATGGAAGTGGAGAAATAAAGGGACAATTCTGAATGGGAGGCCAGAGGTCACTATACAGAAGTGTGTGTATATTTCTGGGTATACATGTGCACAATTGCCACAGCAGCACAGAAAAATTCAAGTTTGCACATGCTAATGGGTATTTCAATAGAATATGTGTGTAACTTTCTGTTTCAAATTTGGCCCTATATAACTTCTCCAAGACAACACAGTAAAGTCAGTGGTGCGGTCAGAATTAAAACTAGAGTTCCTGTTTGTAGTCCCATGCTTAAATTAAAACACAAAACACCCTCCTCCCATTGAGTTTTTATTTTCAATTGGAACTACATCCGCCTCTAAAACAGAGTAGACGTATTTAGTAAAATGTTTTAAAAGAGCAAAAGTGCCTCTTAAAACATCCTTGATTTGTATTTTTCATAGGGAAACACAATAGTTTTAAGGGAGGTTGGCTCAGTCAGGGAGGATGCATGATTAGGGTAGTTGGGGCATGCTAGTTTAGTATACCCTCCAGTTGACTTCAGTCACCCTTGGAGCTCAGCTGAAGTTTAACACTACCCTCCCTCCGGTGAACCCACAGGTGGGGCGGGAGGCCAAAAAGGCAATTTGCATCCCACCCTGTGCCGGCAGGGTGAATCAAGCCTATAACCCATTGTATATTTATGCACATATGCCTCTCTCTCAACTATTATAGTGTCTTAGGGAAAGTAATATACTTTGATCCCTCTATCTTATCTATAAAGAGAAATTCTAAACTATTTACCGTATCTGAATGTAAAAACTCCCTTTAAAGGAAACAAATCTTTTACACCTTGCCATATGTTTAGGAGTCTAATTACTAATCCTAAGTGATTCTACTTTGAAAACCTATGACAATAAGGGTTGTTTCATTCACATTGCTGACCACAAAACTGCCCTGATCAACAACAGCTTTCAGCCTCAGAGGTTACTGCATTTTAAGTCTACAAATGGAGGATTTCAATCTTAGTTAAGTATATACAATGACATACATTCCTACTGTGGAGAGGAATGACTGATACATTTACTAAAACCAAAGTCCCAAACTTTTAAATCCAGCAACATCTATATTTTAAATGATTACAGTCTAAAAAAATAAGGCTATTAGCATTTCTTTGTAAAGGAAGTACCTCTCTCTGTTTTTCCCTTGTTCTGTGTTAAATAAGATCTTTAATTCAACTCACTATCTTGGGTGAAAAGAGAGACATACAATGATGTTAAAAGAAAGGATAAGGGCAGTTGTTTTTATTTTAAGAATATTCATTCCAGCAAGAACTCATGGGAGATTAAACGGAGAGGAAAAAAAATACATATGACAATGATTGGTTATATTATAGTGGCCAGTTAGTTACTTGTTTTAAAATTACAGGGAAATACAATCTGAATCTAGAAAAATAAGAGCTTTCAGATTTGTATTAACAACAAACAAATTTCCTTATTGATTTATAAAGGAAATCACCATTGCAAGCACATGGAATTTTGATGCAGCTTCTCCAAAAAGCCAGAAAATGGGGCTGCAGCTTTCACCCCCTGAAAGTCCCCAAGATGCCAGTGTTCACCCCTCAATGCACTTAGCAACCATTTTCATTTACAAGAATTAAAACCACAATCATCATTTGTTTGGGTAAATAAAGCTTTATGGGACTATCCTGGAAACATATCAGTGCTTCTTAATCAGCCTGAAGGGTTTCGCCACTGAAGCAGGATACGCTCTTCAGCACTTCACAGTACTCTTATTGACAGCAAGAGAAGTGAGAATGAGACCACAGACTTCTGCACAATAGATTTGCACACAGAGTTTAATATTTTACTTCCCTCAAAAACTAAACTCTACGAAGTTTATGAAGCCTAAGAAGCAAAATCTAAGTGTGTATTTTCCAGCAGTGCCTCCAATACAAAGCACAATTTGTTGTGGATGAATCAGAGATTTTTGAAGAGGGGATTTCTTACTCTGCGAAAGGTTCCACCAGGCAACACCCCACACAGGCTACTCAGAAAGAAGAGGATGAAAGGTTTAAGCTATCATCAGGGTGGACTTACAATCAGAGCTGAAAAGTAGGGGTGGCTTAATCAGCCTGGAAAAGACAGGGTCATCATTTTCGAACCTTCCTCCATTTCTAGAACCCAAACTGTAAGGTCCTGGCACTTTTAGATAAACTGCTATCACTGCCAGCAGTAGAATGGTCAAATTTCTCAAGGTTTTCAGATACTACACTCCTGAGCCAAGACATCTGGAAAGTCTGAATAAGCAACCAAAACATTTTGACATTAATCCAAACTGAATTCAAGTTCCGAACCTAACTGAAAGCAGCAGTCCTTGTGGTTAAAGAGATCCATCGCCAACTAATGGGTAACCATTGAAGCTGGACAGATGATCTGAACAAGCTCTCCTCACCTAGTAGACGTTGATGAACTGTGAAAAAGACTTCATAAGTAGGCAGCATTTGCATAGGCACGGCTGCTTTGCCTAGACGATCAATAGACACACCTGCTTTGCAAAGTGAACAGTTTTTGCTGTTTTGGGTTAAAGTCTGTGAACTGCACTTTGGAGAGGAAGAAGGGGGGAAGGAGAGCCACATGCAGCTTGCAAGCCATGGATTGGCCACGGCTAGTGTAGAGGCAGGCTCCATAGGTGGATGCCTAATCCAATAGGCCACTGGGACCCACACCAGCTCCCTACCTTTAACTGATGCCTTCTCCTCCCTACCTTCAGCTGATGCCAGATCCAGCCATGGGGAAGCTGGTGGTGAACTGTCTAGCTGTTGGTGAAATGTTTTCCCAAATTAATGCTGAGTCCTTTCCTTTTTATTCAAGGTTTTCTTTTGTTATGCATAGACTCAGTCCTTGCCAGTAAAGAGGTGAATAGTGGAAGTGCCCAGCAGAGGTGTTTAGTTTTCACATTTTGGGACAATGGGGATAAAGGAGGTTTCCAAGCTGGTTTTCACAGATGCTAAGGCTAGAAGGGACAACCGGGATCCTCTGACCTTGTACATAATGCAAACCATAGAACTTCCCCCAAAGAGTTCCCGGAGCAGATCTTTTAGAAAAATATCCAATTTTGATTTAAAAATGATCAGTGATGGAGAATAAACTGTGACCCTTGGTAAATTGATCCTATGGTTAATTACTCTCCCCATTAAAAAAAGTACACCTTATTTCCAGTCTGAATTTGTTTAGCTTCAACTTCCAGCCACCGGATCATGTTGGACCTTTGCTCTGCTAGCTTGAAGAGCCTATTATTAAATATTTGCTTCCTATAAAGGTACAGACAATGATCAAGTCAGCCCCAAAGTTCTCTCTGATCATTTCCATCCATGTGCAGATTTTTTCCATTCACGTGCAGAATTTTTTGTGTGCACGCTGAGGCATGTGCGAATATGCACCAGCAATAGAAACAAAAATAGTGAGCTGAGAGTGTTCTGCTAATCATCTGACCAGCATTTTCATTCCCACAACCCCTCGAGTGGCGGCACAATTGCACAGCTTACAGGGAACACTGCTCAGCCCCACATCTTCTCTTTGCTAAACTGAATAGATTGAGCTCCTTCAGTCTATCGCTATCAGACAAGTTTTTGAGTCCTTCAATTGTTCTCATAGTTTTTCTCTGAACACTCTGCAATTCATGAACATCTTTCTTGAATTGTGGGCAGTATTCCAGTGATAGCCCTCCAGTGCCAAATCCAGAAGTAAAATAATCTCCCTACACCTATTTGAGATTCCTGTTTGTTTAATGCTTCCTGGGATTGCATTAGATCTTTTGGACTCAATGTCACTCTGGGAGCTTGAATTCAGCTAACCATGCACTACACTCCAAAAATCTTTTTGGAGTCCCTGCTTCCCAGGATAGAGTCCCCATCCTAGAAGTATGGCCTACATTCTTTGTCCCTACACATGTACATTTAACCATATTAAAAACCAATATTGTTTACTTGTGCCCAATTTATCAAGAGACTTAGATCACTCTGATCTGTCCTCTTCGTTATTTCCCCAATTTTTATGTAATCTGCAAATTTCAATCAATGGTTATTTTATGTTTTCTCTCCAGTCACCGATAAAAATGTTTACAAAAATTAGGCTTAAGAATCAATCTGAATCACACTGGAAACAGTCCTGCTTGGTGATGATTCTCTGTTTATAGTTACATTTTGAGATTTTTCAGTTAGCTAGTTTTTAATCCACATAATATGGGACATGTTAATTTTACATCATTCTACGTTTTTAATCAAGACATCATGCAGCACCAAATCAAATACCTTACAGAAATCTATTACCTCATTACTGTTAACGTTATCAATAACAGTCATAATCTTGTCAAAAAAGATATCAAGTTAGATCCCATCCGACTATCTTCCATAAACCCATGTTAATTTGAATTAATTACATTAATTTTCTTTAGTTCTTTATTAATATACTTTCATATCAGATGCTCTGTGAATATTTTATTTATTCCAGGATTTACTGTTGATACTATTTTAGTTTGATTGCTATTTCCCCTGCATTTACCTTTAGATTAAGTGGTGCTTGAAATGTCCCAAAAAGGACTTTCCTATTACAAGCAGACAAATTTTGTAATTGGAATGATATGGCAATCTTCAAATAACTGAATGTTGATATGTACCATATGGACCGACATACAAACATTCAGATTAGCAGGGGTGCGTATTGTATTGCTGCTAAGAGAGCTCTTGTTTTAAGAAATACCCCCATGAACCAGGCTTGCTCAGTCTAGCTGAAAAAGATTTCCTTCCAGCTTTTCCACACAATATGTCAAATGTTCTACATATGAATTAGATCCACAGTAGAGCCAACAGAGGGGAAATAATCTACTTAAGAGATATCCACATTTCTCTGTTTGACTAAAAAGGAAATAGAAGCAACTGTACATAACTAAATAATGTTTATTCTACCACTCCATTTATCAAGGTTGGCTTCAAAAGTTATTTTGTAAGTTGCTTCCCAAAACACATGTTTAAGACTCAAGGTGCATTTTTATTAGGCTCTTCCTTTCTCATTAACTGCACAGCAGCATTTTAAGAAAGAAGCATTAAACTTTGTTAATGAAATGAATGAATTGAAGAGGTCAAACTGAGTTCAGGATTCAGCTGAAGAGTTACAATTTAGAATCTTCCATATGAATTTGCAGAAATCAAGCTGCATTATGAACTATTTATTGAAAAATTTAACCCCTTTCATTCTGTTGTAGTATTACACACACACACACTCTCTCTCTCTCTCGCTCTCTCGCATACATTCATTACCAAATAGCTAAGTCATCACTGTAAGATATCGGTCTCCAATGGCTGATCAACATTATGTATCAAAAGCCTTTAAACCCCAACATAGAGCTACGTTCTATATTATTCTGGTCCTTCTATATTACTCAGGTTTTAGCTGGCTCCATCCTGGCCCCAATCCTTCCTCTTTGATCAACACTTCGATGGAGAGGAGAACTGACTTTATAATGTGTACATATGAGGTAGGCCTGGGAGGGCAGATGGTGACAAGTTAGAGAAGATGGAGAGTGAAGAAGCAACCGTAACACTGAATTTCATCACTTTTAAAAAATTTAAATCAGGATTGTAATACTTAATTCATAGTTTTATAGCATGAAATTTCTCTGGTTCATCACAACATGTGCACAGTGGAAAATATGTTTCATATTGTGGTTATGAACTAAAAAGCCTTGTCAGAACTTTTCCAGTTACAAACACTGATTCTTTTATCAAAAAGTAAACACTTAATCTATATCAACTTCTTATGTAGAAAATATTCTGATTAGATATGAATATCTGAAAGATATTTCATTTAAATGACTGAAGATTTAGTTGAACATGGTTCTGAGCCAATTTTAAGTTACAGATATTTGTAGCTGAGTCCTGTAAATCAATGGTGTAGAAGGTGTACAAAAATTAAGCCCTTTATTTATATTTTTTAAGGAATGGTCATATTTAAAGCAATTTTGCCTATTTAAAATTGATATTGTATATGTTAATCCACAGTTTGAAAATCTCATCCATTATACATAGGTATAACTTTCATGAAAATGCCACCAAATTCTGTTGATTTTAAGTTTTCTTTAAAAAAAAAGTCTTTTTGATTGTGCCAACGGCTTTTCAGATGTGAACCCCCAAGTGTTAGGCAATGTAATCACATCTTTGTAAGTCTGTGGACAAATAGCTTCAGTGCTTCTGCTTCTGTGTAATCCTTCCTCCTGGTCAGTGAAAACTGTTTGGTTTGGTCTGGTCAGTTTTCAATCCTGCCATTGAAAACTTTGTGGACTTCAGTGAAATTGACAGAATCAGGTCAATTTTCCAATCTGCATCTTGATAAAGTTCTTTCAAAAAACTGGCACTAGAGTTATTCTCTGGGGAGGACGACTAAAAAACAGAGACCAAAGAAGGAGATGGTTAGCAAAGACACCGCTAAGATACAGAAGCGGTAGTGGTGGAAAAACTGAGAAAATATCTTTCTTCCTTCCAGCAAGCATCTTTCACCCAGACCCTTAGTAGGTGTCATGTAAATTCTTCAAGTCCTGCAATAAACCCATGCTATAAAACACAGAGTCTGGTCCTATAGTACAGACCATCCTGACATCAGTGCATGACATTTGTGAATATAAACGCAATTTAAGGTGTAGTTCTACTCTGAAAAGGGATTATAAACGTGGTGAAGCAAAAGTGTCTCAAAAGTTTTCTGTATAGAAAACACTAAGTTTACATTTTTTTAAAAAAATTCCAGGCCTACAACCTCATCCTGAGCACAGTCAAACTAGGTTCCTTCCATCTCCTGCATATAAATTCTGCAGGCCAAATTCCAAAGATGGAATTGATTCAATGTACTCAGCAATAGCTGTGTGTTGGTTATGCAGTGCTGCTAACAGTGCTAAACACCAATACAAATATTTTTTGCATTAAAATTCAAGTATACATAAGGAACAGCTTTTTTTGGTAAGGTGCCATTTTAATACGGTTGCTTTACAGACTAAAACTACAGGCAGTCCCCGAGTTATGCGGATCCGACTTATGTCGGATTCGCAGTTATGAACGGGGCTTTTCTCGCCCCCCTATATTTCATATCCGACTAGAGGAGAGACACCAAAGGCGGAGTTCTGTGAAGAAGATTGAGAAAATGAAGGAAAAAGTAAATAGAATTTCATTAAAAGTTTGCTATCCTGCTTAATTTGAAGTAAATCCAGTGCAGTTCTGAGATTTCTTTGAAACTGTATCCTAGATTTATATCTCTTAGAGAAAGATTGTATATAATGAGATTAATGTAATCTGTGATAAACTAGTAATAGCTAATTAGATATATTAATGTTATAAACTCATAGCATCTTACAGAGAATTGACAGTTCAGACAGTGAGTGTTTTTACTCCCATTCATTTCCTTATTGCATGACTTGTTCATAAATTACCTTTTCTATTGATGAGGTTTTGAAATCATTTCTCTAAAATGTATAGCAAAAATTGAAGGCTCTTTCTAGTTGGTAGTAACAATTCACACACACTTACCTTTTTTTGCTGCATGATAAAGTTGAGGTATTCAAACTTTCTTACTATATTTATTCACAATTTCTTTCTCAGCGTCAAGCAAAGTACTCTGAAAACAAGCTCAAATCTATTAAAGCTCGAAATGAGTACCTACTAACCCTTGAAGCAACCAACGCTTCTGTTTTCAAGTATTATATTCATGACCTTTCAGATTTAATTGATGTAAGTACTTGATGTTTATACTTCTATTCTGTTCAGGAATAATATGTAGTGTTTTTACTCTGCTTTTCATCTTCAAACAGGAAGTGCACAATGTTAGTTACTTTTGTCATTAATCATATATTGATCACTATAAAATTTCATAGTATAACTAATAGTCTATCCTTTTAATTTTATATATTTTTGAAAAACGAATGTCTGTAGGAAACAGAGTTCATGTCTTTAAAATTTAGTGAGGATTTCTTTCCTAGGTGACTGGAGAAAACATGGGAGCAATATCACTAAATACATAAATGGTTGGAAATTTCCACCTTATGGTGGGCCATGCTTCTGGAACAAGAATGGAGAATTTTAATGCTCCAAGTTAAAAATTTTAAGCTGTACAGGCAGTCCCCGGGTTATGTACAAGATAGGGACTGTAGGTTTGTTCTTAAGTTGAATCTGTATGTAAGTCAGAACTGGCATCCAGATTCAGCCGCGGTTGAAACTGATCAGTTTCAGCAGTGGCTGATGCCAGTTCCGACTTACATACAGATTCAACTTAAGAACAAACCTACAGTCCCTATCTTGTACATAACCCGGGGACTGCCTGTACAGCTTAAAATTTTTAACTTGGAGCATTAAAATTCTCCATTCTTGTTCCAGAAGCATGGCCCACCATAAGGTGGAAATTTCCAACCATTTATGTATTTAGTGATATTGCTCCCATGTTTTCTCCAGTCACCTAGGAAAGAAATCCTCACTAAATTTTAAAGACATGAACTCTGTTTCCTACAGACATTCGTTTTTCAAAAATATATAAAATTAAAAGGATAGACTATTAGTTATACTATGAAATTTTATAGTGATCAATATATGATTAATGACAAAAGTAACTAACATTGTGCACTTCCTGTTTGAAGATGAAAAGCAGAGTAAAAACACTACATATTATTCCTGAACAGAATAGAAGTATAAACATCAAGTACTTACATCAATTAAATCTGAAAGGTCATGAATATAATACTTGAAAACAGAAGCGTTGGTTGCTTCAAGGGTTAGTAGGTACTCATTTCGAGCTTTAATAGATTTGAGCTTGTTTTCAGAGTACTTTGCTTGACGCTGAGAAAGAAATTGTGAATAAATATAGTAAGAAAGTTTGAATACCTCAACTTTATCATGCAGCAAAAAAAGGTAAGTGTGTGTGAATTGTTACTACCAACTAGAAAGAGCCTTCAATTTTTGCTATACATTTTAGAGAAATGATTTCAAAACCTCATCAATAGAAAAGGTAATTTATGAACAAGTCATGCAATAAGGAAATGAATGGGAGTAAAAACACTCACTGTCTGAACTGTCAATTCTCTGTAAGATGCTATGAGTTTATAACATTAATATATCTAATTAGCTATTACTAGTTTATCACAGATTACATTAATCTCATTATATACAATCTTTCTCTAAGAGATATAAATCTAGGATACAGTTTCAAAGAAATCTCAGAACTGCACTGGATTTACTTCAAATTAAGCAGGATAGCAAACTTTTAATGAAATTCTATTTACTTTTTCCTTCATTTTCTCAATCTTCTTCACAGAACTCCGCCTTTGGTGTCTCTCCTCTAGTCGGATATGAAATATAGGGTCTCCTGACCTCCCAATCTGTTTTTCTTCTTGTTTCTCCGCCTCCTTCAGCTTGCTTTCTGCACTGATGCTCTCTGCATGATACATATGGTATGTTTTCATGACCTGAGGAAGAGGAAATCAAAGGATAGTTAGGAGATCAGGGATATCAAGGCTCCTCATAAAAAAAAAATCACAGGGTACCAAAACAAGACCATCATCTTATAAAGTCTTGAATAAATGTCTTTGCCAACATGGTTTGGAGGTTTTATATTGTATTTTTCCTTTCAGCTCCATTTAATTTAATCTCAAAAGCTAACAGCAAGCCTAGCCCATGTGATTTACTTTCCTTGTTGACTGTACACGGTGTTAGAATTACTACTACTCTGTTGGCTATTCATATTGCACTTTGCATCTTCAAATAACTGTTCTAACTACTTTGGATAAAGAGAAATGTGATGGAAATTCAGACCTAATTTAAGCATGTTTGTCTTTCCCGCTCACTTCTATCCTGGACATCTTTTAAAAATAAAAGAAAGTAACACACGCCTCACAACAAACCTTTTAGCAATGAGGGAAGTGCCATTCCTATCCTCTCCCCGACCTCTCCCAAGCGCTAGAAAGGGACAGCTAGTGGAAAGTGTATTTCCCAAGCAGTGGGGATGGTAAAGGAATACCACACTACAGTTGTATTAAGGGAAAAAACCCTTCTCCCTGCCCCCTAAGTGAGGGTACGTCTACACTACAACGTTAATTCGAACTAACTTAGTTCGAATTAGTTAATTCGAACTAAGCTAATTCGAACTAACGCATCTAGAACTAAAAACTAGTTCGAATTAGCGTTTTGCTAATTTGAACTAGCGCGTCCACATTAAGTGGACCCTGAAGCGGGGTTAAGGATGGCCGGAAGCAGTGCCGGCAGGGCATCAGAGGAGGACTTAGAGCGTAGAGCTGCTGTCTCAGGCTAGCCGAGGGCTGTGCTTAAAGGCTCCCGACCCCCACCCCGGAAAGACAGTTCTCAGGGTGCCTCGCTTGCAAAGCAGTCCTGGCTTGGATTGCCCAGAGTACCCACACTGGGCACATCACAGCACTAGGCCATCAGACCAGCTGCACTTGCCGCAGGCTGCCATCTGGGGAGAGGGGGCAATTGGGGGGCTGCAGGAGAGCTTCTACCCCCA